GTCCCGTATCTGTGACTACAAAGGCTCTACAGGATTGTACATAACAGCTGGCCACAAAGACACAAATTCGCTTAGGAGATAAGGGATGGAGCCAGCATGATCATAGCATGTAATGCATATGCAGAAGTAATAATAATTATGTTAATCTTAAAAACAATAGTGCGGTCGACCTGCGCAGAGGAAAGGCATCATGGACATGATCTACGTGTATAACTGATCGAAACGTTTTTGCCATACTATAGACATGGTTAGCATTTTACCGTTCACGCTATTTCCACCGTCGGCGTGTAGAGGGCGAGTCTACTGTTTTTTGTTTTTGTTTTTTCGAGAAACGGTTAGCAGTTCGGCTTCTGAGTCCTGACTCCTGACGCAACGATAGACGTGTGAGGTAACCCTAGTTAGAATCTTACCGTTTTGTTCTCCCGCTAAAAAGAGCTTTCTATCGCCGAAACGGTACCAAACCGACGGTATTTTGGGTTTGGGGTACGAGTACCGTTGGATCTAGTGCGTGAACTGTAAAATGCCATGTCTACACACACAAAAAACGGTGCAGGCCTACCGCCGAATGTAGCGTGAACGGTAAAATGCTAACCATGTCTAACTATGTGGCCAATCAACGAAAAAAAATTCCATCAGTTCTAATAACATGTACGATGATCTAGGCAAAAAAGCATAGCGTAGGGCCCTGAGCTTCCAAGCTCTCTCGTTTCGCCGATCAGCAGTCGCACTCGATTATAAGTCGCACCCCCATTTTCAGGTTTGAGCGATATTGATTTGATATAATCACTTCAGTAGTAAGTCATGCTCGATTGTAAGTCGCACCCCCTTTGTAGGGAATGAAGTTTAGTGTAAAAAGGTGCGACGTATAATCGGGGAAATACAGTATGTGCCTGGTTTCTCTAACGAAATCACCGAAATTGAAGTTACACCGAAAATAACATGTTCTACAGTACGCTGTGCTTGTCGAGATCCTAGCCAGTCCGTTCTTCGCTGCTACGTTCTTCGACACCCGAGAGCACTGTACTCGAGTACAGCTAGACAGTCAGCAGCAGCAACAACAAGCGAATCACGTTCCAAGTGCATAACCCGCAGCCCCGCTCACAGCATCTCACCTTCTCACAAACTGATCTCCTATTGGCGATGGTGCCATCGTGAGAACAAAGAAACTTTTAAAAACATGATAATTTGAAAAAAACGTGACAGCCGACTTACTGCGGGTGCACACCCCGACCAAGCCCGTTCCGTGGCACACTGGTTGAGGATGGGTGTACTCATACCCGGCCACACACGTGACACGCCAGTCAGCGGATATGTTGGCAATGCGGTCATCACCACCGCTGCGCTTGCAGACTAAATATTGGAAACGACAAAAAAGAGAACAAACTTCAAAACTGCTTCCGCCGGAAAACTCGGTCTCGAACTGTGAATTATTATCTGGATGAGCACAGGGAAAAGGTGACCAGGCATGCACCCGGGACAAAGCACAAAGAGCCTTAGTTCTCCAACTTGTTAAAACGCCACGTGGCCTGCGTTCTATTAAATTTGTTTTCTGGAGGCAGGCAGATGGAATTCCCTTCCAGCTGACTGTCGACGGGCCCAGTCTCTTGCTCTGTTCATAAACATGGTTAAACTTCACCTAGTGTTCCCACCAAAATGACCGTAACCTGTTGGGACTCCCCTGGTGAAATAATAAAAACTACAACTGCTAGACGATAACAGTGACTTACTGCGAGTACACGGTTGAACCTGGCTGGTTCCCTGACACACTGGCTGAGGATGACTGTACTCAAACCCAGCTTCACATTGGACAGTTCCGTCAGCGGATACGCGGATAATGTGATCACCGGCTTTGCGTGTGCAGTCTGAATAGGGGAAGTGATGAGATGGAGAACAGAGAATTAAAAAAAGTCTTTTAAAAAGGATTGGGAAAACTTCAAATTTCAAAGGATCAGTCGGGCAAGTGAACGCCCTAGAAAGCAAAATCCCGGGTTCGAGTCCTGGTGGATCTTGTATTTTTTTCCCTTTTCAGGCAGTTCACTTCCCCGACTCATCACTGTAAGGCACTGTTGTTTTTAGCTGTTCTTCTTTGAGCTGTTTCATCACCTCTTTGCCATACATTGTTCCATAATTCCATCCAGTACATAATGCCGTCAATTCATTCATTCTCTCCTGGGTATCGTTCCACTTCCACAAAGCCTTTTAGAGATCCTACTCGGGTTCTGCCCGTACTAGTAGTAGTAGAATCCTAAAGGACGTTTTGGCTCTTCGTTGAGCTCATTTAGTTATTACACATAGACACTCAGTGTCTTTCCACTCGGAAACAATTCTCGTCATACTTCAGTAAGAATCATTATCATCAGTATCAGGGGTACTCGAACTCGTGGTTGTCCTCCAAGTAGTAATGATGAGGAAGCGTCTACATCACGACGGCTGGGGTAGATATTCCCACCAGCCGTACGCGACGCAGAAAATGCTAGTGTCAGGATAAGGACATCGTGGAGGCGAATAGAGACATACCGTAGAAGTCTCCGGTAAAAGAAAGCAATACGACAGGAAAAGAAGAAGACTGTATAACCATAAACTGGACAAGTCATGGCAGTAAGTATAGAACTAGACTGAAACGAATGGGAACAGGGTTGACTTGACATAGAACGTACATGTAACAATACATCGTAATGTTGTCCGACGGTAACACACAGTAGCAATAAATACTAGAAATGCATCGAAAGTGCAGCTGTCCAATCAGAGACAATGTACAAGGTGAAGACGCATGCAATATCTAACAAAGCCCAAGATAATGAATATTGAGTGAGTAGAACTGAAGTTATGATCTGTGCGAGATTTACGAGTGTCAGTTGTCATGTTGTCAAGGAGGGAGTGTGCGAGATTTACGAGTGTGATTGGACAGGAGGCTGCGCTCTTGAACAATATTCTTTAGAACTGTCGCGTATTGTCACACGTTGCACGTTAATACTATTAGTGTATTGTATTTTCGAATTATGTGCAGAACTGTCACATGCTGCAAGGGCAGTATTGTCAGAAGGACATGCTGCAGGTGCAGTATTGTCAGAAGGACATGCTGCAGGTGCAGTATTGTCAGAAGGACATGCTAATCTTGGTGCAGTGTGTATTACTGATATGCATTTCACAAGTGTGATATTTTTTGTTACTTCGAAGTATGTGTGTTAGAATTCGTTGGTGTTTTACAATTACATCATGAGTGCATTATTCCCGTAGATATGCAGAAGACGTTACTTCAGTAACGTCTGGCGCTAGCCAGAGTCCACACAGCTTTAATTTGGTATTTGTTTGTTTGTGTGTTTGTGTCATGCCTGGAGCTATCCCGTATCTGTCCTGTATCTGTCCCGTATCTGTCTGTTCCCGTAGCTATGCAGAAGACGTTACTTCAGTAACGTCTGGCGTTAGCCAGGGTCCACACAGCTTTAATTCCCGTAGATATGCAGAAGACGTTACTTCAGTAACGCCTGGCGCTAGTCAGGGTCCACAGAGCTTTAATTTGGTATTTGTTTGTTTGTGTGTTTGTGTCACGTCTGGCGCTATCCCGTATCTGTTCCGTACCGTACCGTACCATCAAACACAGCTGGCCACAAACAGCTGGCCACAATATTTGCTGCCTCCCGTATCTGTCTCGTACCGTACCGTACCATCAAAGACAGCTGGCCACAAACAGCTAGCCACGATATTCAAATAGGGCTTTCAAATGCAAGATCATAACGTGAAGCAACTAGGAAGAATTAGTACGTATGCGAAGTGTATGGGGGATGCACGCAGGGCGATAGTGCGGGTTCGAATCCCAGGTTATGTCTGGGAAAAAAAGGAGAAATGATAATGATCGGTCAGTGTCGTGCAATGTTATCGCATGAGCTGATTGTTTAGTAACTGGTGGTGTTAGTGGACAGTATAGCGTAACCTGTTTGTTTCTTTTATTTGAATTCGTTTAGAGCACAGGCAATCATTCAGTCTGCCTTCTCACCAGAGGAAAAACCTCCGGTTCCTGCTGAGAACGAATATAATCTTATGAGAGAAGGAAATATTACAAAGAATCATAACATGATTATGCCAAAGCACAAAGTATGTATATAATTCAAATGGGCGTGTGTATGTGTAAGCATGCAGTGCAGAACACACAGAGAAAACATGCAGTAATGTGTAGGCAAGAAAGGAGCACGATTAACACTGGTTACAAGTTACAATTAATTCTGTTCAGAGCCAGTTTAAAGGCAAAAGCCGCACTGTGGAGGCGAATATCCCTGGGGAGGGCATTCCAAAGAGTGCTTCCCACTAGGGGTGAAACGATTAGTTCGAATATTCGAGTATTCGTTCGAAAATTTCAAACGAGCGAGTATTCGAAATTTTGCACTCGATCGTTTTTTTAAACATTTTTTTACGATTGGCATTGTATTTTTTTAAAACTTTTGTTGTACCGCTGGTCCACTGGTATGCATGCGTTATTCATGGTTTGAGTCAGTATTTTAAGACTTGGACGATGCGTTCACCACGGCAAGTAACGTTCTGAGATATGAAAGTACTGATGAAAATCGTTACTTTACACTCTGTACAAGACGTTGGTGACTTTTGTTCTATGTTCACAGATAATTTCTTCCGAATTGGTCGAGAACTCGCAAATCTAGCGCTTTTGAATTTTGATAAAATACTCGAAATAATCGGATACTCGATCGAATATTATGAACGAGTGATCGGTTGGTCAAAATAGATACTCGTTTCACCCCCACTTCCCACAAATGTGACGACCGGAAGGTCCAGGAAGGAAAGGCACTTGCAGTAGCCGCTGTTCCTGCCCTCGAGTAATTCGGCGATCATCCCGGGATGCTTGGCCTGTATTAGCCGGCAACTGAAATTAGGTGCGGAAAAGAGGACTTGCAAGATCATGTAGGCAACGGAAAACAAAAAACAAAACCTTGTAGTGAAAAATGTGAGTTAGGGATCGAATGGATAAGCTCACGAGGAGGGGGGGGGGGGGGGGGGGGCTGTGGATCTTGTAGTTCCTTGGTCTTTCTCTTTTGTATAGAAATGATAAATTTACTTTTCTTTTTTTGCCTAGGTCACCAAAGCAAAAAAGCATAGCGTAGGGCCCTGAGCTTCCAAGCTCTCTCGTTTGCTACATCTACGAGCAGTACGATGTGTTTACGTCAAGACACATTTTACGATACAGTAATTGCTATGCGTGCTCGTACATAGTGCCACGACATGTTCACGAGCGGAACATCTTGTGGTTTGTGCATTACAGTAAAACCTGTCAAGGCGACCACTCGGATAAGGCGACCACCTGTCCTAAAGACCACTGGAGCCAGGACCAAGGGATGCTATTTCCAGTCAATTGACCCTGGATAAGGAGACCACCTGGCAACAGAGACCATATTTTTGAAGGTCCCCTGAGCATTCCTCTTAGGGGCCTATTATATGTGCAACTCCAGCCCGGGCTGGAGCGAGCGGGCCAGCCCGCCAAGGGCGTTTACATGTGCAAGGCCGGGCTGGTCGCCAGCCCGCAGTGAGTTTATATGCGCTGAGCACACGCCAGCCCGTTGTGAGTATGCAGCAAACACACTACGACTGTAGTGTGCTGCCCCGGGCTGAAACGCAGGGCTGCAAGCACTACTCAGGTTATAAACCTAACAACTTTTTTTCTCACACAATGTATACTTCTGCTGATTTCTTTTCGCACTGTGGCGCATGTAACTTGTTTGGTGTGTTGTATCACCTCGTTTCTTTTTCCTGTTTTTCACATTTTTAGCTGTCCATATCAAAGTATTTTGCAAGTAGTTCCCCTTCCATTTTAATGTAAATCCTGCATGTCGACAAATAAACAGTGCTCACTGCACGTCCTTATTGTTGCTGTACAAAAAGCTTCATAGAGTTTCAAGACAATATCGGGAATCCTCTTTACAACTTCGATCAAAAGGTAAAAGTACCTATTTTGTAGTATGCACGCAGTGTCGACACCATAATAATACAACTCTGGCTCGGGCTGGTCTGTTTATATGTGCTTTTTCTGGCCCGCCTAGCCGGGATCCCGGGTGCCTCGGGCGGGATCCCGGGTGCATTGGGGCGGGATCCCGCCTCGCTGGGCCAGCCCGCTTGCCATGTAAACACACCACAGGTTTTGTGTGGATTTGTGTACAACCCCGAGATCTCGTTGCAGGCGGGCTGGCCCGTCTGTCGACCAGCCCGGGCTGGAGCTGCACATATAATCACCCCCTTACCCCTTAGACAGGTTTCACTGTATAAAAGTAGAATTGTTGACAAACTAAGCAGTGACAATGTACTTACTCGATTCATTGTATTATCGCTTTCCGCGGCAACTCCGCTGCGATTTATTCTATGTTGTAGAACTTACTCTCGCTGACAGGGTGTTCTGTCACCCTGTCGCTTGGCACAAGCACCCCCTGACAGACAACGCTTCGCCTCTGTAATCTATTATTCCTCATCCGTTCACTTCAGCAGATTATGTCAGTTTCTGTTTGTTCTGCATTCAAATATTCTGGCTTTTCTTTCGTTGCACCTGCACTCCACGCTGCGGACTTTGGCAGTCGCCATATTTAGTATCTCTATGGCTACGATGATTCATGCATTTTCTGTGGCGAAGGACTAAACTCTAAAGGGACCCTCACTTAATTTTTTGCCGACTACCCGCCAAAAAACACATTTCGACACGCGTGTGTGCTGGACGTCTGCGCGTGCACGACAAGACGTGTTGTTATACGCACACCCATATTTGGATCCCGACCCCGGCATGATTCCATTACCCCTAACCCTGCATGCAGTAATTCGTACACATTCCATTACCCCCTACCCCTACCCCTACCCTTGCATGCAGTAATTCATACGCACTCCACTACCCCCTACCCCTACCCCTGCATGCTGTAGTTCATACGCACTCCATTACCCCCTACCCCTAGCCCTGCATGCAGTAATTCGTACACATTCCATTACCCCCTACCCCTGCATGCAGTAGTTTATACGCACTCCATTACCCCCTACCCCTGCATGCAGTAGTTCGTACACATTCCATTACCCCCTACCCCTGGCCCTGCATGCATTAGTTTGTACACACTTCATAACCATATTTGACCCATTATCCCCTACC